GGCAAACCAATTTCTTTCATTCGACTAAATAGAGTCCTTACACAAAGAGAAGACTAAGCAAGAGTCAGGAACATAAAGAAAACGGATAAAAAAAAAAGAAAAAGATCGCAACAGGAAACACATGTCGAAGAGAAAGCTTTTCATGTCCATGATCACACCTCCGCTGATGAGGAGAGTGAATAGAGATTGAGAATCAGAGAACAAACATAGTTCTCAAATCTCCGACTTTGAAGAAGCAACAAGAAGTAGATCTTAGATGTAGAGTTATTAATTTTAAACCACATATTTAAAGTTAAATGATCATCAAACACCAAATTAAAACGCTGGATAATTTTACATAGTTTTTTCAAATGTTGTGACGATCCGAGAAATATCAACATAAACCTAGCCATTTGGGCTGTTCTTATCAGGTGAAAATAACCAGATGGTTGCATCGTGATCGTCTGTTGAATATATGAAAGAGTCAGCACAAAAAGTTATCTAATTTCCTTGGTTCTGCATACTAACCCGCATATGGCGTGCGTAGTCATCTCGTGATTTAATGTTTTGGGTAAGTGGATTTGGAGGGAAAGAACTGTTTTTTTTGTTTTTTTTTCCATTTTCGTTTATAATTCATAATATAATCTTGGATGGTATTAGTGTATTACTATTAGAGAGTATTTGATGCTGCTACATCATAGAAATAAAAGTACATTGACTGTTTTATAAAAAAAAATCATAATGATATATAAAAATGAGTGAATTGGGATGGAAACTAAGTGGTCGTGTAAGTAAATGAGCAAACAACAAGCAAAGCATTGCGTCCGAGTTTCTGTATCAAAAACTCAAAATAGGTATGAAAATATATTCTTATCTAAGCATGAACTTTGAATTATTTAAATATGCTTGAATTATTCAAATATGCTTAAGTTATTCTTCACTCAAATGGTTACTATTATTACCCTTAGCAATGTTATATGTAAAACAACTACATGACATCAGTTCCATCGAACGATTAAAAAAGACAAGGTTGTTCGTATAAAGACAAAAGTGGTATGAAAAAGCAGTTGAGTGCATCGTACATGTCCACACCCGACCTGACTTAGGACGCATAATTCGATATTATAACTCGAATAGGTAAAGTCCTATAAATATTGTACTCTTCTACGAGAGAAGGGATCTGATATTTACTTCTGTCTTAAGTTTTCGAGTTCATACTATTTTCTAAACACTTGAGCCATTTTTCATTTTTCTTCAGAGACTTAGTCTCCTTCCGACCTCCTTACGAGCACACTCTCGGCCAACCCCTACCATATTTTTTGGGCGATACTGTATCTATTTTCTTACCGAATATTTTGTTTTCTCCTGTCTCGCCAACAAATTTCTACCATAAAATTCATGATACAACGTGGATCATTCTCGTTTGATCTGGAGTCACTTTGTTCTTTTCTTTCGTTTTTCGAATTCTTTCTATTCTCTCCACGCCATACCTTAGGGTAATTTTTTTTTCTTTCTATTTTCAAATTGAGCTTATCAGAGAGTCATCTGAAATACATCTCATGATCGTGTTTTCCCAACCTCAACGCGTTTGTTCTCTATGTGGAGGACTTTACCTCCTAGTGGTTGGATCCACTAACGAAAAATCTCGTAAACAACATTAAAAAAAATTGAAAGAAATAGATTAACCATCTTGCACATGCAATTCTACTTCATACGTTTTAGTATGAGAAATTTGGCTAATTGGGTCGAAATCAAATAGGAAATGTCCCATTAATATTTTTTCAACTCAATTTTGTCTCATTAGTACTTATTTTAATGATAATCRGYTTTTAACCTTCATATTTAGTTTTTATAAATATTTTTTGGTTTGATTAATTCTATTAGTAAAATCAAGTACATCAAAAATAAAACAAAAAATAATAAAACGACTTTAGTTTAAAAGCCGTCGATATCTTCGAAGAGCTTTGTGGTTCTCTCCTTCTCTTCTTCTCCGCCTGTTTTTCCACCAAGCTCTGCTCCACCGTGTCTCCAAAACACAATTTTCCCAATAGAGTTTTAGATTACATTTCATTGCATTTGCATAGTCCTTGAGTCATTTATAGGCACTTTGGAGGCCAAAAACCAAAGGAACAAGGAATGGAAGCAAATATGCAGAAAATGGTTAAAAGTTGGGTACTTGTTGATGACTTTTACACCGATGGATCGAGCTGAAAATTGGCTACATGCTAGGGAATCGAGTTAGCTATCATTTGGAAGAAATTTGAGATCATTCTAACGGTGCGATCAAAAGTTATGAAAGGTTTAGTGAATATAGGTCCGTCTGGCGAGCAAAAGAAGCAAGTGCAGAACATAGCACGA